AGGGGCTGCCCGTCCTGCTGAGGCCCGGGCCCCTAAGGAGGGGTTTGCCCGCAGCCTTGTAGGAGGCGGGCCAGGAGCTGAAGTCAGGCCCCTTTTTCCCGCAGCGGAAGGTAGAGAGAGCTTGGGGGACAGTGTCCCCTCTGAGGGTGCAGTTTCTTGCTTCCTGCAGCTGTGCCTGGAAGGACGGTGCGTTTTAATAATGGGAGTCTGGCTTTGCAGGCTTGAGGACTCGTGAGTGAGCAGAGGCCTGAACAAAAAATTGTGAGCCTCTGAGGTGGGAACCTTGTGTTTATCGATGTACATACCCGTCAAACAAGTAATAAATAATTCTGAAATGTCTATTCTGGGTAGTGAGAACCTGTTAGGAAATTCTCATCTCCTAACTGTTATTTCAGTTAGTCTTCATTGTGTGAAATTGTATTCACTGTCTTAATATATATTTACATAGTTTATGTTGTATACTGAACAGTCGTGCTTAAGCAAGTAAACTAAAGGACCCCAGCTCATCACAAGGACAGCCCCCCTCTCTCCCCAGAGATAAGGAGCTTTGATTCTCAGAATCTTAAAGCTGTCCACAAAGGATATAGAGTACCCCTGAACAACTGAGATAACGTCAATATTCTAGCCCCTCCGTGTCTGTGAAACCCTCCCATTATCTGGTGTCATAGCTAAGTAATTATAGCAAGACTGACTCCAGGGTTCTCTAGAGGAATGCAAAAGCAGGTCGATAATGATGCCATGGAAATATAGTTGCTTGGCAAATGGTAGTGTGTGTCAAGTAGCAATTAGTCAAATCGTGTTGTACCCAAACACCTTAAAGGTGTAAGAACCATGTGTAAAACCACATTTGGGGTGCCTCAGTTGGAATGGGACACCACATGCTCATGACTAGAAGAATTACTCTTGTAATTCTATTCTGTGCGTCCTAGCCTCTCTCCTTGGTCAGCACGGGCCAGCTGCAAATTTTCATAACAAGCCCTTGGATAAACAGGGAGATGCAAAATTTCTCTATTTAGTTGAAGTGACCAAGTGATCGCAGAGGTGACTACTTAAGCATGAAACATGCAGTACCTTCTCCCTGAATGTGCAAAGGCAGGAGTGTGACTGTTTCCGGTACTGCTGGCTCGGCCTCAGGTGGCTGTGAATTTGAGAAGCAATGGGAATGTAATGAATGTCATCAGAGATGCTTCTCAGAAAAGCATATTCTCTAGTGGTCAGAATGGTACACCAAAAATGTTTGACTCCATCCTTAGCATAACTGAACCCTAAAAGCCTGCAGACTGTAAGAATGTTAATATTTAGTTCATGTTAGGGTAAGAACACTATAATGAAACATGCTGCTGAAAAAGATAGTATTATTTACTGAGCAGATAGTAAGAGATGAGCAAGCACTAGAATGCTGTGCCTATGTAAAACACGCAGCAGAGGCTTTATATATAAAACTTATTATTAGCAAATGTCACCATAGTTACCCGGTGATTCAAGTTCCCTGTAGATGGCAAACATTTTCCTCTTAACTTTATTAAGTAACAGTTTTTGCATAGAACTCCTTCATTGTGTGTTCCGTTAATTAAATTATATGCTAGCCTACTTACAATTTGCTCCTGCCTAAATGTCACCTGTACTGTAGTATGGCTGTACGAATGGGTTCTTTGTTCTGAATTATCACTAGGTACTCTGCTGGATTATGTAACATTTAGCCTACCAATGCAATTTGAGTACACAAGCACCAAAATCCTAAGGTGAGACACAGTGAAGGATTTGACCAGTGAAATCCTGGAGTGGAATCTTTGTCTCTGAAACGTTCCCTACCCAATAAGTTAAGTACTTGAGATTAGGTTTCACAGCAGCTAAACTGCTAAAAGGAAGCCTATCTTAACATCTGATAGGAAATTTTAAAAGGAGGATTGAATCTTAAGTTTGTTTCTTTTCTGAAGTTCAGGCATTCTACTTGTGACAGTAGAGAGGCATCAGTTTTGGTTTCTCAGGCTGAAACCTCCATGTTGAGTTTGTAGCTAGATTGCCCTTTTTTAAAAAAAAAAAAAATATTGTATTTCCTTTGGAATACACACAGAGAGAAAGGAAGAAGAAAAAAAAACTCCAGGCTTCAATGGTCTAGCTTTTGGAGGACTTTTTTGTGATAAGCTTGTCTCTTTTTCCTCAGGCTGAGGACTGTCCCATGGGCATTTCACACTTAGGAGTTCAGTGCCTTAACTGTTAAATGTTTTAGCAGGGTGTTTGATGGAACTCCCCAGGCAGGTGAAGTTTGTAGGTTTGCATCAGCATCAGGTTTCCCACATCCTGACTGATGAAAGAGTAGATGCTGCTTACCCTTATTCAAGACCCCCCCCCTTTTTAATATTTTTTTTTTTAGTGACAGATAATGGTCGCTGTTGTGTGTGGAATGTGCTCCTAATATGTGCTAGGCTTTGCCTATAAGCAGGAATTTAGGTGGTGCGTACACATAGGTAGTTGTCAAGTTGCTTAAAACTTGAAATCTTTGAAGAATTAAAAAATTTAGGGGCTTTTGAAATTTGGGGGTTTGAGCATCACACCTTTAAATTTAGCTCTTGAAATTTTGCTCTGCTTCCCACTTCAGAGGATCCTGACTTTCCTAAAGTTGCACCTGAATTCTTTATTGGGACAGGGCCTGGAATTGATGCCCTCCAGTAACTGTAGCAGTTATTCTAATGTGTTTGGTCTGAAGTAATTTCCTTCAGCTTTACATGGAAAAAAAAAAGTTCATTTGTATTTTCAAATTAGCTGCATGCATTATAAACCAAATCTGTTTATCTTGCTTTGCTTTTTCAGTACGTGTTCTAACATATAAAGTGTTGGCCTTTGGCGCTTTCATTTTTTCCTTTTTTTTTCTTTTTTTTTTTTTTTTTTTTCCTTCCCCTTCCTTTTTTTCTAAGGCTTGGTAGTCAACTGGTCAGGTCAAGGATTGCAAAAACTGGGTCCAACCTTACCCTGTGATGCTGATACTCACACTCTGATTCTGGACAAAAACCAGATAATTAAATTGGAACACTTGGAGAAATGCAGGAATCTGATGCAGGTCAGTGTTACTTGACTTGAATTTGCTATGAAATAATGGTACTGTGATGCTAATTAAAATACGTCTGCTTTAAGGCTCTATTATGTCATTGAAGTAAGTTAGTAGATGCTGTCTTCATAGGAAGATAAATGATGGCCAAAACAAAAAGCTTTATTTTCAGTGTAGCTCTAGAGTTGATAGTGGGGGAGGCTGTTCTGCTAGTTACCTAGGTAACTAAAAATTAACTAAGTAAATCCATGTGCGTGTCATAAGAACACTTAGAAAATTCACTGATTTCAATTTTTGGTACTTGCTAGCTTTTGAATACTTGAGCTTTGTAGCCTTAAAAATAATTTTGTTTTATCTTTTCTCTATGGAATTGTAAACATGCAGATATATGTACAGGACTCTCTTCCCTATTTGGGTTTCATAATTCTTCACAAAGGAAGAGGATTAGTAGCCTTAATTTACAAGAAGAAAAAAAGCCATGTGGATAAGACTTAAACAGAAATAGTGAATTAAAAAAGTGAAGTGGGAATGAGCTGTGTAGTCTTGTTAAGATACCGATTCATTTAGGCCCTGATGTTAATAATGGTTATCTTTAATGTTAATACTAGCAACAGTCCATTTACATTCCTGAGGGTATTAGTGATAACAATGTTAAGCATGTGCACGGTGCTTGCAAAAAATCAGAGTATTAATCCCTCCGGGGCAAAGCTGTACAAGTTCATGTTAATTACCACTGAGAGTGCCTCCAGATAGAATTGAAGTCACCTAACAGCTTCTAGAGACAAGCTAAACTGAGATAGGAGAGGTGGGGTTTGTTGCTGCAACAAACCTTCACCAGTCTGCCAGTTTGGTGGTCATGTTATTAATGTGTATGTCTAATCAGGGCTTATCCTCTAAAAAGATTGTGATTACAGTCCTCTTAGCACAGGACTCTTTTTGAGAATTACGTGAAATGTGTTTTGTCCTCTGCCATGTTGACAAAAGTATGATTTTTTTACACCAGGAATGGTGCAGGAATTTGCGTGATGATTTGGCAATTCTGATTTTAAAATCTTTTTTTCATATGACGTGATTCCTCATTCACTCTCCTTTGTTTAGCTTGTTGCTAGGAGGAAGATTTCCTCTTAACTTTGCAGAGTTGTGAAGACTGCTTTGATCAGTAATTTATTTCCTGGCTCTTGCACTTTTTTGTGTCTGTGTTAATTCACTTGAAAAATTAATACATAGAGTGAAATAGTTCCTGTTAGATTAGATTTTTAACCACTAAAAAGAAAAGCCTGTTCTATTGGTACAATTTAATAGTTAAAGCTGTTTCTTTTGTGTGTCAATCTGCAGCTCTCTGTAGCCAACAATCGTTTGGTGCGAATGATGGGTGTAGCAAAACTGACGAAGCTCCGGGTGCTAAACTTGCCTCATAATAGTATTGGGTATGTGGAAGGACTGAAAGAGTTGGTGCACCTGGAATGGCTGAACTTGGCAGGGAATAACCTTAAGGTAAAGTATTCAGTCTTTATACATTTTCCAGAGTCTAGCGTTGTAGAAATTTGGAAAATGCTGCAAAGAAATCTGAATATGTTTCTGGTTTTGGTTGGAGAAAATGCTGAAGTTTTGTGTCTACTGGTTTATGAGGGCAACTTTTGGACAAGAATTGTCTAGGAAAAAGCTACAAGGTTTGGTATCAAAATGCAATGGGAACTAGGAAATAGTCCCCCAAATAGGAAAAGAATTATCCTCTTTAAAATGAAACTGTGTAAAAACATGGGTTTTGTTTTGGGTTACTTCTGGTGGTTTTTTTTAGCTTTCAAAATAACTTAATTATTGATAATTGGTTTTATTTAATGACCAAAAAAGAGTTACGGTGAGTAATTGACTTCTTTATTTTTGTAGGCCATTGAACAAATCAATTCCTGTCTATCTCTTCAGCATCTTGATTTGTCAGACAATAACATAGCTCAATTAGGCGATCTCTCCAAGCTTACGTCGCTGAAGGTAGGTGCTGTTCTATCTCTGGTTTTGTTACATTCTTTGCATAAAGAAATTTTGCTTTGAAAATTGCTGCCTTTTAAAGCATTCATCATTCAAACAGTAGCTCTTAAAGCATTTTAATTAATCACTATCATTTCCAGAGGGAAGTGTGTAAGTATTCTTTTCCTTGTTTTCACGTTGCAGGAACCGAGGCGGTGATTTTTCTATAACAACTCTAATGATTTTGATAAAGATAACAGGGTTGAGATCTTGTTCATAGCTCTTGGTTATCTTGTCCCATGTCATGATTCAAAACAAAACATAGTGTTAACTCTTCCAGTGTGAACACAGTAGGAAAAAAATGTTTCCAAATACATTTTTTTTTGTAAGTGTGACTATACTTCAGTTCTGCATTTTTAAAACAGGAAGATTTTTGCTCTAAAATACAAAAACCAGTTTTCTCTTGCTGGAATAAAGAAAAAATAATTTGATGATGCCAGAAAGCCTTAGTTAGTTCTTTTGTGTGTATTGTGCAGGTATTGCCTGAAAAAAAAATGGGAGTTTTGATCAAACATTCATTATATCACCCCATTTTTATTTTATAGACTCTGTTGCTACATGGAAACATTGTAACTTCACTTCGCACCGCACCTGTTTGCCTACCTCAGAATCTGACTGTTCTTTCTTTGGCAGAAAATGAAATCAGAGACTTAAATGAGGTAAGGCATAAAAGATATATCACCTTGTCTTTAGGTAGACTGAAAGCAAATAGTTGGATAAATACGAACTGGACTCCCTACTTCTTCCATGACCCATGTTGACAGAGGTAACCTTTAATGGTTTATATGTAATAATTATGCTTTTCACTAGCTGCACAAGCTAGGGGATACTTTTTAAAATTTGTCCTTAGAAGAAACTTTTCGTTTTTTATTTTTTGTTTTTATATTTATTTGAGGATGTCAGAAGTATACTTTGAGGAGTAAATTCATTGAGAGCTTTTCATAGTTGTCTGAAGGTTGAAAACTGAGCTGATGAACTGCTGTAGAGGGCTTCTGCAGCTGCTGTGTTTAGAACAGAGGTTTGAATTGTTCTTGTTGTAACTGCATGTTTTTGGGTCCATGTCTTGTTTTATCTATTTCTTAAACATCATATAAGAGAAACAAATATTCTGCCTGTGATTTTTGTCTCTATTGTTTCATTTGGTGGGGTTTTTTAATATAAGTAGCAGTCAAACTGTCAGTTGGACTTCCATGTTGGAAGAAAAATCTTATTTTGGTAATACATTTCTCAAAATGGTGTTTCTCAGCTTTTTGGCTTGCTTTTTTTTTTTTGGTCCAAATCTCTGCGTATTATAGTGAACTGGAATCATAAAAATATGATTCAAAATCTTAGAAGTTTTCTATACATAAAACCTGATTCCCAGATTTTAAGAGAAGCTGAGACTTTCCAAGGGCTATAGTACCTACGGAAGAGTTAATGGGAAAATGGCAATAGTTGATAGAAGGTCCTTTGAAAATGTTCACCTTCAAAAAGCAAATGTGATTTTCATTGTATTTGTAATTATGCTGTTTTGTGTGAGATATCTAGCTGCAACTAGAGAAATGTTATATATCTTATAAGTGTTTAATGATTCTTCTCAGTTAACAAATATATCTTGTTTTCTCAAGGTTTCTTTCCTGGCCTCTCTCCATCAACTGGAACAGTTGTCAATTATGAACAATCCTTGTGTGATGGCCACACCTTCTATCCCTGGCTTTGACTACAGGCCATATATTGTCAGCTGGTGTCTGAACCTTAAAGTTCTTGATGGATATGTGATTTCTCAGAAGGAAAGGTGACGTGATATCGTTAAATCTCTGAAATTATGAAGTAAAGTTGGGCTAACCTGAAGTTGCATTTTTATGTAACAGTAAATGGAAAGGTGCTGATGATCTGAAATTCTGTTTGTCTTGCTAATGAGATACGTGCCAATTAACATTATTGCTTTTGCTAAATTTTTAATCTGTTACACCAGAATTATTATGTGAAATCACAGGTTTGTTTAAGTAGAAGTATAAAGTTAAGGTTGGTTTTGTTACTCAACTCACAGTAGTGCTTTTACAGAGCAAAACTGTGGTAGCAATTTATCAATGGTCTGTTATTGCTTCCAAGTTTACAGCCTCTCTGTAGAATGAGATAATCAGCAGGTATTTAAGCTATTGTCTTGGGAGAAGCTCGGATGTGCTCTTTTCAAAAGGGTCTGATCTGCACGTGCATTTCTAGACTTGGCATTTTTTTATATCAATTAGTTAAATATCACTTTGCTCATGTCACTTCTTACTGTATCACTGTGGTCACTATATCACCACATCTGTATGACAGTAAAGATGTCATCTTAAAGTTCTTGACATCAGAACAGTCCAAGCATAAAAATATTATCCAGTATGAACACATTCTAGTCCAATACAGAACACATTCCAGGACATTACTGTCTTGTTTCCCAGTTAATAAAATGAAAAGCTGCCTTTTGGGTCAAAGGCAAACCAATCCTGTTTCTGTTTCAGCATAGCATATAATGAGGTTATCAAAAAAGCTGCCTGTAAGAACTCTAGAATCTTTTTTTCATGGAGTTTTCTGTATTAGCAGTATTATATGTGAACATATTTATATTAAATCTTCTTAGACTGAAGAGCATTTAAATTAAAAACAGATTTTAATTCTTGAATGCTCTCAGCAAGATTTACTTTCTGTGGCTATTCTGTGTTTGTGTGAGCTTTTTTGGTTTCTGTGAAAGCTTTTCTGGTAAACTTATTCACACAAATGTGTTTCCAGTGCTCAAAGACTACATGTGGATAGAGCAGAGACTGCAGACCTTTTTTTTTTTTCATCCATTTTTCTGTGAGGGGATGCTTTATTTGTTATTCTGGTAATGAAAATCCCAGTTCCTCTGGGCACTGCTCATGTTCCAAGTTTTTGTTAGGTTTGTAGATGAGCTCTTGGGCACCAACCAGAAGAACAGTAATCAAAGGAGAGTTAGGGGTTTAACGCCATGCATTGATGGTGGCCATTTTCTCCTTTCCCAACAGTTTGAAAGCAGAATGGCTCTACAGTCAAGGTAAAGGAAGATCATATCGACCTGGACAGCACATTCAGTTAGTTCAGTACTTGGCTACTGTTTGTCCTCTTATATCTACATATGGTCTCCAGACTGAAGAGGATGCCAAACTGGAAAAAATACTGAGTAAGCAAAGGTGAGAACTTCTTGTTTCTCTATTGTTAGAGAATGTAATTGAGAACATAATTATATGTCTTGTGTGTTAGAGATAATATTTCATTTTTAAGTATTTCAAAGCATCAGTGAGGGCTGAGGATGGGAAGAGGAGTGGAGGTACAGGATGTATTCTAGAGGAGAACGAGAGGCAAGGTGGTGGCAGCAGCAGGAGTGTTTTCCTGCTTGCTGGGTCATCTAGGGGCAAATTCTCTGTACTTTTCAGTCTGTGCTCTGTAGGACGTCGAGGGTGATTTGTATTAGGACTGTGATTAAAATAAACAAATTACGTACTGACTTGATTCAGTCACTTTCAAATGTAAAAGACACTCCCTCCATTCCTCAAACTCCTCTATGCATGCAAGCATAACTTATCCTGCAGTAGACGCCCAAAACAGCTCCATACCTTCCTTTCTTGTGTGTAGAAATATTTCATGGTTTTCAGTCTATAGTCCAAATTACATGTTGGATTTTTTACTTTTTTTTTGATACATGTAATGAAGAAAAAGGGACGGGGGAAGGGGAGCAGGAGCAGGCTGTGCAATCCCCTCCTTTGTGAGTAGTCCTGTTAGTGTCTTGTAGGTGTAGGGATCTGCATAACTAGCCTCTTGTTTTAGAATGGTTTGACTGCTTGTTTCCTTTCAAGTAGTTGATAGTTTCTTTTAGATGTCTTCTGTATCAAAAAAGTTCAAAAGAAATACAAAATCTGTTGGAACTCTGTTCTTAGGCTCCACCAGAGGCAGTTGATGCATCAAAACCAAAATGAAGGACCACCTACATCTTCTACTCCCAACAAAACACTGCCAGTTACTTGTGAACACAGCAGTCCAGCACAGCCACCACAGATAGTTCTTGAAAGTGGTAAGAAGCTAATTGCACCTGTGATCTAACCTGTGGAAATAATTTTTTTATTTTTGAACATAGATAACTTTGAAGAGAATTTCAGAACAAGGTTGTGTTTATTCTATTGATTTTTGGAGATTTTCAACTGAAGTTTTACTTTGTTTTCTAAAAATACATTCCATGCTTATTCATGTCTTGAAATGCTAGTGAAATTGTTGGGTGAAAACCAGAATCCAATAAGCTAAAAAGTTATTACTTTGACTGTTCTGTGCATAACTTTTCCAGGGGAAGGCAGTTTGTGCAATTTACCATACCCACTATTGGCAAAGTTTGTAGATGTTACTGTCGTAAGTAGTTATTGTCCTTATTGCTATATAGAAATAATGCTTATCATTATTAGCATTTTAGATCTTCTTACACACCTGGATTCTAACTATCTAAATCAAATTGTGAATACCTATGAATTAGAAGAAGGTATGTTAGTGAAATACTATGACACCTCTGAATATGGCTTTCTGCCTATGTAGAACCTATCATCCAGAAGAATTCTTGGGTTGGACCAAGTGCAAATGATGATCATTCCTATGCAGTAAAGAACACTTTTCTTCTGGAAAGAAGTTTTTGCAAGGAGCTATACCTTGAAGATATACAGACAGATGAAGACAAACTAAACAGCAGCCTGTTAACCTCAGAGTCTACTTTCATGCCAGTTGCTTCAGGATTGTCTCCAGTGTCTCCTACTTCAGACCTGAAGCTGCATGGAATTAGTTTGGGCCTAGAAGATGATGATGATACAGGGATCAAATGTGTGAGAGATGTTAATAGAGGAGAAACAGCTAACAAGCAAGAAGCTTCATGTGCTACAAGAGAGCACTCCAACAGAGCAGTAGGAAGTGTGGAAACTCAAGAGAATGTCAAAGAGAGTACGCTGTTGCCTTCTCTTGACCCAGTAACAGCTAGCCTGACTGCTAACACTAGCAGCTGTTCAGCATCCTCTGAAGACCAAGTTCTGCGTAGTCACCCCAGCACCTCCGTCAGTGCTGAATCAGGAGTTACAATGCTCTGTCCTGGCCAGATGGCAGGAGAAAGTTCTGATGCGTTAGCTGTTGTTGATCAAGGTGCAGCTGAACTGCAAAGAAAGACTGAAGCAGCTACCAAACTTCAAGCCTGCTGGAAAGGGTTTTACACAAGGAACTATCATCCCCGAGCCAAGGAAGTGCGGTATGAAATTCGACTAAACAGAATGCAGGAGCACATCATTTGCTTAACTGATGAAATAGAAAAGTAAGTTGAGGTCATGCTGTGTATTCTCAAAGATGAATGAATATAAACATTGTTCCAGGATATTCCAGTATAAATGGGTCTTGGTATAGCTACTCACAGTACAACCTAGCATTAGTAATATAAAACTGTAAGGTAAGCACAGTTATGTACATAGCTGTTCATACACTTAAAGTGCCTTCTATGAGTGGGTTGGGTTAGAATAATTCTTTCTCTTCCTCTATTAGCAGGACTTGCATGTTTCACTGCATAACCAAAATAGAAATTACTAAGTGTGATTTTTTTTTTTACACTTGTCTCCTAGCAATTACAGAGTCTGTAAATTAAGTGTTTGTATTGAGTGTCATTCTTCTATTACTGGTGAAAGAGGAATTCTCTCTCTGCCTTGCATGATACAATTTTAAGATGTCATTCTGTGCTTGGTGTGTGGTTTTTTTTTTTTTTATCCTATGAATCCATGGTTGGAGGAGATCATTATCAAATTGTGGATTTAGCTAATATCTTTAGAATCAGCCTGCCTGGAAACTGGGGTCTGACATGCTCTTTTCCTCGGATTTAGCTAATATCTTTTAGAATCAGCCTGGAAACTGGGGTCTGACATGCTCTTTTCCTTTACTGTCACATGTGACAGAAGTTTTGTGAATCAAGTTGAGCTCTCAGTGAACCTTTAGAAACTCCTGCTGCTTACACATCATGCTTATATCCAAGTGGTATCAGCTGAGGAGAGCATAATTTGAAATGAAGAATGACTGTTTGGGGGCGGGGGGTTGTGCAGGAAAAAGAATCACGTCTACTTAAAATGAAGAGCGCTGGTTCAGTTTACAAAAAGGCACTTAAAGTATTAGCAAGTCAATAAATGTGCTGCAGCAAAAGGAAGCAGAATCTTAATGTAACTCTGAAAAAGAAACTTGAAGTCAGCAGCTGGGTATTGATGGCAAGCCAGACTGCAGTAATGTCTTAATGTTAGGCTCCATTGTATCTTTCAAGAGTGCTGTTATATAAGTAGGCATTTTTATGTATTCTTGTTAATCTTGTTACCCAAATGTTGCTTATTGAAGCTGCATAAACTTGGATGTGTGTTCCTGCAGACTAAGAAAAGAAAGAGAAGAAGAGAAGATTCAGAGGCTTGTACAGGAGGAAGCTGTCAGATTTCTGTGGAACCAGGTAAATAGTTTTAGTCCTATTATTTTTCCATTTACATATGAATTTGAAAGGCATTATTTCATACTGTAGATCCTGAAGAGATGGTCAACATGGTTAATTTTTTCCAGTGATGACTTGGGTGGCTTATTGGAATCTAATTGCTGTGTTGTTTGCTATACTAGTGTTCTGGGATAAAATAACATTGAAGTATTAGTGCAATAGCGCTGGTTTTGTTACAAAAGGCTAAATTATGGCCTGGTGTGAGAAGGAGGACAAACGCAAGGGAAGCTAAATAAACGTAGCAGAAGTGTGAAGAACGATGTGACTGCTAGATGCCCAGGGCAAATGAAATGGTGTCAAGCTATGGTGCTTGTGGGAAATTCATTTCTAAAGTAGAGAAGTTATTAATGAATATCTTCCAATAAGCTATTCTTCAAAAAATAAGACTGATTGTTTTCTTAAGCTGGGGTTATTTCATAGAAGCTCTCCATCATTTTTGTTTTTAAGAGCAGATTCCTTTTTCTTCAGGTACTTGAACTGGGAGGCTTGTGTGCTCTGTCAGTGTTGGGCATCTAGGTTCAAAAGCCATTATTTAACAGTGGGAAGAACATAGTTTCCCTAAAGGTGTAGTGAACCCTTTGTTAGTTCACTTGGTCTTAAATTTTATGCTAGAGCTTTGTTGGTGATTGCAAGAAATACTCTAGAAATCAAAGTACTTTCTTAATTGTTTCATAATTAAATTCTCTCTATACAGGTTAAATCTCTTCAAGAATGGCAGCTTTCAGTGACACAAAACTTAGGTGCCACTTGGCAGCCTGTGATCCCTCCAGCCAGTACTTTCTGTCCATCTGAACCACCTATTCGATCATCCACACTTGAGCAAGAAATGCCACCAGATGTTAGTTCTGCTTGGTTAGTTCCAGCTGGTGATGTTCTTCAGGAAAAGTCTTTGTTGCAGTTCCCAGATTCTGGTTTTCATTCTTCCATGGCTGATCAGACTCATGGCAGTGACTTGTGTAGCTCTGAAAAGAGTTTAATGGAAGGAACAGAGAGCTCTCTTTCAGTGGAAACTGTCAAACAATGTGGCAACTCTGTTTCAGCGTGTTCTTCAGAGGCGGAGGATGACCATGGGGAATGTGGGCAAAGTAAAGAGAGCTCTAGTAACGAGCAGGACAACAGACTAATACAACAGTATTTGAAATCTGTTCAGCAGCTGGAAGAGGCTGACGAAGGGACAAACGGCAATGATGAAACAGAGGGTAGCTGGCCACAAGTCACAGTTTTGGCAGAAAGCAAAGATTCTTCGTCTGACACTGTCTTTGTAGATCTCCCTCAAGATACATCTTCCCCTGCCCGAGGGGAAATCAGTCAGACACCAGAAAGCTGCAAACTGAATTCAGGAATAGTGGAAGGGAAGCAAACAGACTGTGATTCTTCATTTCAGATGCTGCATCTTGGGATAGCTGTATAGTAGGCTCAGTTTCACAAAGGTCTAGGGATTCCGTTTCACTTTTTGTTCGTTCTTTTTCCCATTTATACAAAACTTACTTTTCATGTGTGCTGTTTCAGAGTTTGACTCATGTTACCAATTTATATTTTAGTATCTTACTGATGTTGCTGAGGACTGACACTAACTAGGCTAACCTGAAATCAGCAAGGTTCTCAGTGACTGTCATTATGCACTTTATTTTCAAACATAAAACCAATATCCTAATAACTGGCTTCCATTAAATTAATTATGAAGGTTGGGGGTATTGGGGAGGGGGGTGTTTGCTGTGAATGTGTTAGTAAGTCTTTGAATTTTTTTCTAGAAAGCTGGACTGAGTTCTTACTTTGCAAAAGAGAAGGAAGGAGTATGGGAGGAAGCAGAGTCAATATAGACAGCGTGTGCATGTATGGATACAGCCTGATGAGAAAGATGAAAGCAGTTGCCTTTCAGACTTACTTTGACTTTAACAAGAGTAGTTTGGTCAGTGTTTCAAAGATGCATTCCATGAAACCAGTGTCCAGGTCAGTGACTTTTTATCATTCACATGAAGCTGCTGACTAGGAATTAGGTCATTTACATATGCACTGAAACAAGGACTTACAGGAGTCAGACCTTAGGGAGCTTCAAACAAACTTTGACCTTGTTTGCCCTGGGGTTGTATTTCCCTGCTTTCTCAGGTAAGACTCAAAGTGGAACCAGTAGCAGCCTTTACTAAATAAGAATTTCAAAAGGGCATGTAATTTGGGAACATGGTTTCCAAGACTGCATTGCTGGGTTACAGCAGCAGACTTGGTGACACATGTTTTGCCTCCACAAGGATGCTAATTTCGTTTGGGGATTTGGATCTGCATGGCTTTAAAGAAGTTAGTGTGTTTGAATTGCAACTACTTCTATCTACAAGTATAAATATTAAAAGCAAATGTCATGACTTGAAACTATTTCTTGACATCTCTGTTTTGGTTTTTGTTTGGTTTTTTTCTCTGTATGTCCAGTATTTGACATTCTAATAAGATGTGGATAAAAAGCTGTTTCCTGTTGGCAAATGCACTAAGTTACCTAGGCTTAAACACTGGGCAAGCGAAAGGGTTTGTGTTTTGCCTAGCCATTGCTATGCTGGGTTTTTTTAGTGGAAAAAGATCAGGTATCTTAGTATACCACAAAAGTGGCAAAGGAAATACGTTTTGCCATGTGACTAGTAAAATAGAAGTTGATGTTGTGACTTCTAGGGGTCAGTGAAGTTTGCTAATACTGCATTTTGCAATGTGCACTGGAAGGCCAGTGTTTCAATAGTTTGCTAATATAAACTTCTCAGATATAAAGACACATGCATATTATAGTTCTCTGAATCCACGCATTAACTTCTGGTGCTATGGTGCCCTTAAAATCAATTACTGCTGTTTTAAACTGATTCTTATGACCATGTTACCATGTAAAATGATTTAACTTTTGTAAAGGCTTCGGTTGCTTGTCTACTTTAGGTTCTGAGCTGGAATTGACTGTTAGTCAGGAGTTTGGCATGAGGCCTTTATTTAGAACATAAATGTTGCATTGGACTTGCACCAGCCATCTGCCCAGCGGTGAAGTTCACCTTGAAAGAGTAAAGCTTGCCTCTGTATAGAGTAGCCATCGTCTTCCCCCCTCCCCTACCCAAAGAAAAAAAAGTTCTAGGGCACTAACTTCTCAAAAGACTGTCACTGCAGTCAAGCTGACATTTGCCTGTGCCTTGCATACATGAGAAGATTTGGTGGGGGGAAAACAAAAGACAAACCTGAGGTGGTAGATTCTTAATGTGCTATCTTTCTAACTCCCTCTAGTTACAGCATGTTTGTAGCATAGCCACATTCATAATTAGATCTTAGAGCATGAGTATGCTTGGTTATTGAAATGTATCACAACACCTAATTGTGCAAATAAGTGTAGGGTACATGATTGTACCCTTGTCCTCTGAAGGTTCTCAACTTGCGTTTAAATCTGCCATACTTGGAGATCTCTATGGTTCATAATATGTAGCTCTTTGACTGTCAATCTGCTAAAAAAAAACCAAACCAAATAACTCATGTAAACCTTTAAAGAGACTTTTTTGGGGGTTTTAAGAGAGAAACTAGTTCTATCTGTGAAACAGTTGTTGGACTCTGGAGGCAGTGATTGGGTGTAATAACAAGTTCTCTTTTGTGGCAGAGTGCTGTATTAGCATACGCAAGACCTGGGAGAAACTAGACCACTGGATAAAAATGTTTCACTTACTGAAGATGCTGAGGGACCATGTGTGTTTTGCTATTTTGTATTATTGTCACTTGTGCTGCAGAACTAGAAAGAGGAGAAACAATTTTGGAGGTTTTTGGCGGTGTCAGAGAGGGAAAACCTGGTGAAACTTAATTTTTTGCAGAAGCCCTAGATGATTCTTGACATTTCTTCTATTATTAGGGCTTACAAACACAAGATGACTTACTTTAATGCCTAGGTCAACAGTTGGCTTTTTCTAACTTGTAACTTGTATATCCAAAACTGATTTTATGAAGGTACAGCAAAGTGTGTACCAACATATAATCAGCTTTATCTTACTCTTTTGAGGAACCTGTGAAATAGGAAAGATTTCTTTTTTCTGATGTTCTGAAAACTATCTTGCATGTGTAGAAGATGAGTTGCCTAAATATACAGATATTGCAAATGAAGTCCTGGATTAGTTTTTACAGGGTTAAATGTAATTAACTTGTATATACAGAAAATGTTTTCATCCTGACCATTAAAATACATACAGGGAAAGAAATATGGGGGATAAAGTGGAAAAATTAGGACTCAGACTGGATGTATACTTAAAAATGGCTTCTTTCAGTTCATTTTGAGCTCTCAAAGAATCATGATTTAGAAATACCAGTTTAGTATATGGTTTAACATTTAGTCTTTGTATCAGTTTTCTTAATCTAGGTATGTAATATCCTTTTACCTGAGTAGGGATGCACAGCTCCCTTTGGAGACGATGGAAATTTCATAGAGGAATCGGAAGGCCTAATATATGAAAAAACATGTCTGAAATTTTACTGTATTAATACTGTATGTCTTTCAGCATTTTGCTTTTGCAAGGCTTCATATTCAACACAGTGTACTTTGTAGAAGGAAAGCTTGTCTGTTTTACTTTGTCCTGGGGTGGTACTCCAGTGCTGATGGGGAGAGATTACTCATGGTTATTTGTTAGGAGGCAATGTTGTCAGCTCTGCTGTGAGTACAGTTTAAGTGCTTCTCTAATTTGCTGCAGAAAATTCAGCTAAATATAGCTCAGACTAATCATTTAAATCACCACACAAGTAGTTTTGCCCTAAATTAGGTGTTTGGCACGTACAAACCTCTTTCAGCTAGTCTATGGCAGAAATTGCCTTTTTGCCTGCTTTTCTGGAGGTAGGGACAAGGGGGGAAGGTAGAAATGCATTTATCTGTGTTTTCAGGTTTAATCTGTGGTGGTAACACCAACTCTTTTATGATTGCTATTTCTGTTCTATCCCAATTATTTTTATAGTCTACAAATTTCCATGTTTCATGTAATCAAGAATGGTTTTTTTTCTACTGTATGTAATATCTGATAGACACTGTTCTGAGGGTATTTGGAAAGGTAGAAGAATGTCATGAAAGCAGGCCTGTTCACATTTTGTATTTCAAAGGGTTTTTTTAAGGTGTTTGGATTGTATCGATTCTTCTCTGTTAGATAACATCTTTACAAAAGAAAAACACGAGGCAATGCCTCTTTAATGGCAGTAAGTAAGTTTCTGTTTCTGCCTTCTTCCATAAACTGAGCTTAATGGTCACAACTCTTCTTTTAGTACCTAAAACTGTCATTTAAATGAATGGGAGATTTAGCTGCTGAATGAATGCAGCAACTCTGATGGGGTTGGGGTTTGTTTTTTTTTCAGTGACTTCCTGTGTGGTGCTATTTTGTAAACAAAGTATGTGTGGCAAGGATGTAGCTCTGCTTTCACTTCCTTAAAAGAAGCAAGGTCATGCTTAAGTTGAGTCCTTGTGAACTGGCTGTTGATATTGGGATTTTTTATCATATTTACATCTCTAGAAGTGTTCTTATACCACAAAGCAAGAAGGCATAAAGACTGCAAATTTTATTTTGTTGCTTCTAAAACACAAATATCTTTCAGCCAATACTTGAGACTCAAGTCCTTGTTAAACTACATTGCAGAAGCCTAACAGTTTGTTTATAGTTAAGTTCTTTAAACAACTATAGATTGTATTTGCATGCAGCAATTTAAACAATGAACTTAGCAGCCAATCTGTATATAAAAAACAAGTTTGTTTTTTTCCTGAATAATGTTGTATGTAATTGAGCTTGCAAATTGTTCCTGGGTTTTATGAATTTGTATATATTGTCTGAAGAACTACAATCTTAATTTCTACTTGTAGCGGGTTGTTTGATGAACAAAAATGGAAGATGCATTCCTTGAGACTACCTGGGTACTTTTTACTGGACTTGAAGTTACAGTCTGGCTCACACAGACACACTTTTTCCTGAGAGGATAGAATTGTAGCATTTAGTGGAGACTGACTGAATGACAATAAAATGTAAAAACTGGTCAGTTCTCCTGCTTTTAGCTAGTGGAAAAGAGATTTTTTTTTTTCCTGTTGTATTAACTTTTTTTTACCTTGAGGACTGTGCCACCCAAATAAGTAAGCATCAGGTATTCACGAAGTCTTTCAAAAAGTTGTCTTTGATAGTTACAGTATTATTCCAGTTTGGCTTTCTAGGACAAGTTACTGAAACACACTTTCTTTCTATATGCCTGCTGAAAAGTTGGGACTTTTTGTCTATTTCTAAATGCTTTCTTTATGTCAGTAATGGAAAAAGCACAGGATCCTTTACTTGCAAAAGCATAAAACAGTATTTATCAGGAAAGGTGCTTTATCTCTTGGAAAGTGCCATGCCAAATTTTATTGTATAAGAGCTCTCAGTCAGAAACTACTTTTCTGGCTTCATTCCATTTATAAGTGTATGGGCCAAATTCACTTGTAGCATAATTCTACTGAACTAAATTTTGTTGAGTCTTTCACAGTAGTAGTCTACCTCTAAACAGAATCTGAAAAAAATAACAATTAGGCATTAATTTGTCTTTCTACTTCTCACTGTTTTCTGTGAAGAATGGTGGGTGGTTAAATTGGTACAGTTTCATATATTTTCTATAAGTGTTTACATTTCTGGATTTATTGTTTCTTAAATATTTTGTTTGTACCTCTGAGTTTTGAACTTTAAATAAATGATTTGTACGTTTATTGATAATGTTAATTCGTACGTGATCATGACTCTTACTGCTAATAGTCATTGTCTTACCATTGGAGGGCTCTTCTGGAGATAAAAAGTTTAGAAATACAAAACAGTGATGACAAGGTAGGCATCAGCATTCATGACTTGGTACAGCTGAGGCATCTAACGGCCCACTCTTCCAGTGTTGAAGATAGTAAGCGTGTGGTAGGGTACTTGAAACGCATACACCAATTGATCAGTAGATGCCACCGAAATTGGTATTCGTGACTTGCAGTCTTTTGTTTCTATCACTGGCTAACCCTTTCATGTTCTTAATTCCCTATGGTGTTTAAATTAAAAGATGTGGCAGTAGTCTGTACAGAACTTCCTAGAAAGAGAATTAAGGCCATGGGCTTACAGGAGAAATACAAAGTTGTTCTCTCTCCTACTATTTGGATTTGGTCAGATACCTGCTGTGTGCTTAAATAAATGAAGACTAACCAAATATCTTTCAGGCTTTAACAGACAAACAGTCCAGGACCTCAGACATATATGCAAGTCATGTTTACTGCAGGACAGTCATCCCAAAGGTTTTTAAAAAACAAAAAAAGAAAAACCCCCACAACTTTGTTTTGCTTTACTCTCATATCACACGTGGAGGTTTGTGGGCATTTTTTCAACTCTTTACGTGTTTCCACTTTGTGACACTGAAGAAATTAGCTGAGGTTTTTAAGTGAGACTCCTCTTGCTCTTCTATGAAGATACTTGAAAGACAGAAATGGGTGTAGCTAAAGTGACTTCAAGTCTTAAAAGAGAAGAGCAGTGGTGTTTTCTCTTGGAGTAGAGTTAAGGCCCTAAAGCTGTACTATTAAGTTTAAATGCTGTGTACTGTAGGGATAGTAACCACAACGCTTCAGGAGCTCAGGTTGAAGGTCCCTCTTGTCCCTGTTTTCGATTCATATTTGTAGTAAGATTGGACATTAAAATCTTTGGCTAGCGTTGGAAAATAAAAGGATAAATATATCTAGTGAATGGACCCAATTTTGTTCAAATGGAAATGGTTACTTTGAATTTTATGGGCTGAAATCCTTCCATATACTAGGAGCTGAGTTTCTTTTGTGCATGATGGTGTAGTTTGAAAAACTCCTGTTAATTCTGTGTAACAACTTGTCCAGATAGTAGGTGAGGTATTTTTCTTCTTCACTGGGGTGTTACGGTGTGAAAACTAATTTTTCTCTACTGTATTGATACAGTTGCAAAAGCACAAACCACTGTGTCCAAGTATAGCTTGCATCAGTACATCACTGATTTCAGGCCATAACACTGGATTTGTGAAGGATCTGTGGCAATACCATGCATTGATTTGGGGTATAGGTAGAAGGAATTGTTACTTTGGCCTACGTGGGACAGCACATAGAGATCTTGACAGATCTGACTGCATGGGCTTCCTCAACTTTATGCATGTCAGTGGTGGAGCTCATTCCCGCTTATTCTCTAGCTTGGCACAAGTTGTGCCTGTACATAAGGATATTTTCACATGTGCCCCTTGTGATGCTCCATCAGAACTTGTGGATCTGGAAAGGTGCATGTGACTGCCACAAGTCCTGCAGGTAATCCAGCATGTTCCTTGGTCTAGGAGCAACAAGACCAATGGTATCAGCATGCTGCCATGGGCAGTTAGGCCTGTCGTCCCAGTGGGGACTTCTTGAGGGTTGCTAGGAGCTTTTCAGGTACAGCCCAAGTTGTTTCTGGCAGAATTTGTGAATGCGAGGGCTTTGGGATTGCTCAGGTGTATCCCCTTTTTCCTTGCTGAGATCCTGTTTGCCTGTTCTTTCTGATACGTGCAAGGCAACATTGAACAGGGGAAGAAATAGCAGGAAATTGTCTTCAGGGTGCTTAAATGAAACCAGTGACAGCCTTTGACTTCTGAGACTCTTTTAATTGGCCTGTGAAAACTGAGAAGCCCATGGTTGTGAAGGATGCTCTGGAAAATGCAAAATCTATGCACATTGTGTTGAAATTGTTATGTGTTGGGCTGAAAGCAATAAACCATTACAAAAGCCTAAATAATTCTTGACCAATATAGGGTTGTGAGGAACCAGCCAGGGCTGGGTTTTTTGTTAGTATTGTATTAAACTGCGTTCAAGCAGCAGCCTTTGTGGTGCCTCTTCCTGAGTGTTTTTGTTGCACCAGCTGAAGTTCTCCAGTCCCTTGAGAACTTGCAGCATGTTTTCTGGTGTAGGAAGCGCCTGGAAAATGAGCTGAGGAAGTTATCACTGCTTATGCGTGTAGAGGCTGCAGGACCTGAGGAGAAACAGGAGACACTGAGAAACTCTGCAGCCTGAACTATCTCTCCCCCCACCTCTTCTGTCACTAGCTCCTACAGCCCCTTCAGCTTGACATTAAAGGCAAATGCATGTGCTGTTTGTTGGAGCCCCTATTTTCAAGATCCGCTCCACACCTGTCTTGTAGTGCTGAGGTCCCTGGAGTGGAGTTCATTCTCTTGTCCTCTCCTCGCTGTGGCTTGCTTGTTCCAAATTCTGATAGTTTTTCTACAGCAGATTGGCTGTCATTTTGCTCTTTGATTCTCTGGCTTTACTCGTGGCTACTGAGAGTATGGATATGCTGGATATGCTCCACGGACCCTTTGGTTGAGATGGCTGTGGCTGCAGCAGTTGTCTGGTGGAGAAAGGGAGGGAGAGCCCTGGAAGAGCTTGCATTAGTCCCAAAGGGGAACAAAACTGCCTGGAGGCAATGAGATGCTGTGCTCCTGCTGCATTCCTGGAGTGGGAATGCAGCACAGCTGCCTGAGGGAGGATCTGCAGCAGATCTGCTGGTGCAGAAGGGAAGCGGGAAGGCTGCTTGGTGCCTGTAGGTAAGCTTCTCTGTCACCTTTTGGGAAAGGACTTGAGGAAGCTGGAAGAGGATTCTTCTAGCAAAAAACCTCCATCCCTTTACAAGAGTTGGATGATGTGAAAAGGGTCTGGGCAGCACCAGATTGGCAAAAGACTTTTTCCACCCAAGTCAGATATACCTTAGCTATTGCTATGCCTGAAACCAGGGGACTGAAACTTGCTGTTCCAGGAACAGCGGGGGGACATCAGATGTTTGTGCGAGTGGAAAATGGTTGGAAAAGCGACACAGGGGTAACGTGGCAAAAGGGGACTGGCCAAAGATGCGTATGGAAAAGGGGACAGGGTGGGTTGTGCTTGTTGCAGACTCTGCCCAGTGCCTTGTTTGTTACAGTAAGAATCAGTTTAGTAATCCCAGATGTGTTATCACTGCATAATACTGTGTATTGTTGGTGATTATTTGCAGGAAAGGGACAGAAGGGCAATTGGGCCAAGGGCCCATCATAACTTCACCTTACCGCATGTAATTCTGGAAAAAGAAATTAGGACACATTGATTCTTTTTCATTATCTATCTTCCTGTGCCTATCTCAAAATGGTTGCCAAGTGCTTCTGCTGTGATAAACCAGGAGGGATGTGAGTGACAGCTGCTGAAGCTTTAGATTTTGGGGGCCAATGGTATCTAGATACTGCATGAGGAGCAGACCTCACCAAAGCCCTTGACATTCAAGTAACTTAAAAGCAAACAGCCTTTTTCAAGGTCCCTTCTACAGAGTGTGGGGGCAGATGCTCAGTGATCAATTCATGGCCTCTATGAACAAAAGCTTACCACTTCAGAGATTAGAAAGGCATATTTGATGCATTATTAGGTCTTCATCGAGGCTAACTACAATACTGACTGAAGAATTTATTAAGGAGACATAGTGGGGATCCCTTCCCATCATTGAAGGATGGCAAAATGTGTAAAATGTGGTGGAGAACAGCACAGCTGCGCCAACTTCCTGTGAAAAGAGCACAGGTTTTGTCATTGCTGTCATCAGCTGTGCCCTCACCCCCAACATCAGTCCAGTTACATTACGGAGATGAGCTTAAGCCTGGCACTTGGCGCACTAATTAGGTAGTATTGCCTTGGGTCTCACTTTGAACTAAAGAGTCTGTCAGAGAATTTGATGCACTGCATGACTCGTGAAGGAAGGGTGAAGAGAAATGAGACTGCTATAAATTTGATAGACTTAGTATATTGAGAGGGGAAAAAAAAAATCAATACAAAGTATCTTTCAAGATACTGTATTTTTAGTGTTCTGCTTATACAGCCAGATGGCTTTCAATCCTCGACTGCCAGTGTGTGGTGCTAATAAAAGCTGGTGCCCGTTGAGGCTTTTGTTTTCCCTCTGTAGTCACCATTGTAATGTGGGGAAAGGAGGAGAAAAGTGGAAGTGATCTCACTTCTAACTCATTTGAAATAGCTATGGCTGATGGGGGTGAGGGCAGGAGACCAGAGGGGACATTTAATATTTGTAACTGCTGAAGTGTTACGTTCACAGGGATATTTCAGCTGCCCTGTCTCTGTGTGTGCCTGGTTTTAAGCAAGCCAAGTAGTCCTTAGTAAAAGGAAGTTTGAGCCTTTAACCCCTACTCATGCAGCCAACTGTGAGCAGGTGCAGGTTTTGGCAAGAGTTGTTGCCAGACTTATGAGGTGTTTACAAGTGATGGCAAATCCAGTGGCAGATGTCCTGTTACCAGAGTGAAAGTGCCACCCTGCTCCTGTGCGGGGTGTGAAACTCAACACCACCTGCGCGCACCTCCTCAAGCATTTTTAAGTCCTGCCTTTAACACAGCTACTTTTGTCCGATTTTGCTATCCTGTTCCTCTCCCCTCAGCTTCAGCTGACCTATAAGGCCACCCTCTCCCTCTTTCATAATCTTGCTGCTCCTCTCCACCTTCAAACTCGGGCTCAGTGATGTTTGAACTTGTCTCTTGATGGGGGGTGCAGCTGGGCAGGCCCCGGGCAGGAGCCTGGTAATACCACCCGGGCCGTAAACCAGAGCTCTGCACCACCCTCCCCACAGCCTGGCTTCTTTGGCTTCACCTACTGCGACTCAAAAGTTACAGGGACTCCTTCCCCCCTCCGCCCCTCCTCCCCCAGTTATGAGGCCTTTCTCGGCAAAAAGGATGCCCAGGAGTAACTGCGTGCGGTTTTATGGTATTTCTTTCCCCAGAGGATCACTGTGTCCGTGTAGTCACCGCTGCAAAACCCTGCCAGGTTCAGCCAGGAGCCTCCC